CGGCCGGCCCCGCCCGCGGGCACCTGGAGCGCCGGGACAGGAGCCGGCACGCAAGCTGCCCGCCCGCCCGGATCCCCCCCGCGCATTCTCCAAATTCCTGCGGGCGGAGCCTGGGCCCGGGTGGGGTGGGGGGGGCTGCGCACAGAAGCCTGCTGGGGCACCGCCGCCAAGGGGGGAGCAAGATGAGGGATGCTCTCACTGCCCCCAATGTCCCCTCCCTACGGGGCCTGCTACCGCGAAAACCAAGCCTCTAAACTTGGGGAACTGGGACTCGAGATAACCAGGAGGTTAGAGTTTGGCAGGAATAAGGCGCCCTTAGTCCATTTGAAACCCAGCAGAAGGGGACATTCCTCTAGCCTCTCTTCTAGCTCCGCGTCTCCAGCTCTGAAATACCGGCGCCAGCAATTTGGGCCGTCGGGGCAGTGAGGAACCAAATACGGTGACGGGTCCCTTCCTGTCCCTAATCACTTTTCTCACTCACCGAAGTAGTCCTCTCTGGCCTCCGGCTCCCGCATCCGGGCCCGGGCGGCCTCCGGAACGAACGGACCTGGCGGTTCCTCGAGACCCGACGGCTCAATCCCCGAGGGCTCCCCGCGGGCGCAGACCTCTCGCCCACCCGTGCCCACCATCAGGCGCAGCAACGCTGTTAGCTCATCCTGGCATCGGGCGCCCGCAGCGCAGTCCCCGTAGCCGGTCACTGAGTGTCGTCCAGGTTGCGCCCCTCGTCTCTCCAAGGGCCCTGCCGCTCCCACTGCAGCCCCGGCTAGAGCTCCGGGACTGCCCAGGGCCGGGGGATACGAGTGGCGGCTTTCCTGGCAGCCGAACCCCGCGGGCCGATGAGCGCACAGTCGGTCCAGGGCAGCGTGGAGCTCCGGGTAAGCGGACGGCATCCCTCCAGGGGAATAACCCGCCGGAGCCCCGGCCAGGGGTGGGCCAAAGAGGCATGGCCCGGCGGGCAGGGGACTGCCGTGGCGCTGGTCGTAGCCCATGCTGATGCCGCTGGTACGATTGCTGCAGGGTCGGCTACCTCCGGCTCCGCCAGCCCCCGCCCCGTCCAGGAGCAGGCTGCCTCGGGGGCTGGACGGCTTGCTCGCGTCGCTGGCTGAGCTACTGGCGAAACTGGAGCGGGGGCTTAGGGCTGGGGCCGTGGTCTCCAGCCGAAAGTCGGGGGGCAATGACTGAGGTAGAGGTAAGACCCGGGTGGGAGGAGGCCCCCCGGGAAAGGAGCCTTCGTAGCGCTGCGTCTCAAAGGAGCCGCGCGGGTTCCGCTCGGCGTCCAGGGGGCCGTGCTCCCGGGCTGGCTCCAACGGCTCATCCCCAGGTCCCCCAGTAGCTCCACGGGGCCCTGATTTCCTAGGTCCTCCCGACCCACTCAGGTGCCCCTTGCCCGGCCCGGGGGTCCCATCAGACCCAGACCGGCTAGATTCACCCTTTCTGCGGCCGAACTTAGCGCTGCCGGAGTCCGAGAGTCTTAACTTCTCCAGCAGGCGACTGGCTTTCTCCCCTAAACGCTCCATGCCCTCGGGCCTGGGGCCTCCAGCCCCCTCCCTGCCCGGCACCCTGCAGCGTCTCGGCGGCCGCTTCTCTTTGGCAGGTCTCCGGTTCCCCAGGGGGCACAAGGTAGGCACAGGGGTTTAGCGGACGGCCCGGTTACCCGGCGCCAAAAATCCCACAGCATCCCCCAGCGAGAGGGGCTGCGTCCCCCCGCGCTTCAGGAATTGGGAAGGGTTAGAAGGGCCTACAGCCGCGGCTGTCCGGTCCGCAGGTCTATCTGTTCTTGCGTTGATCAGCTCTGCTGCCCCACGCTCCCCGGGCCGGCCCCCGCCCCCTCACTCTCAAACTCAACACGGACGAGAACTTCTCTCCCAAACTTTTGTCTGCCTGGCCGGATCTACTTTCCTGGAGGGGCGGAGCGCCGAGGGCGAGAGGAACGGGGTGTCTGCGCAGGGATCTCTGCTGAGCCGAAGGGCGCCACGGAAGCTGGTGCTAAGTTTTTGGAGGTGGAGATCCGCCGACTGAAGGGGAGAGGAGAGCAAGTTTGGGCAGCTGCTACTACATCACTCAAGAACTAGGAGAGGAAAAAGTTGTTTGTTTGTTTGTTTTGTTTTTTTGGGGGGTGGGGACTCTTTGTTTGCAGTTGGAATGCGCGGAGGGGCACAGTGGAATGTTGCGAGCTTGTAACGAGCGACGTGAGGCATGGTCTGCGCAAACACCGTGATTTTGTTCCTAGTGTGGGGACTGTGGGAGAGATGGAGAGAGACTGATGCAGAATTAGTGAGACGGGGAGAAAGAAGAAAGGTGGAGAGAGAGGTTCAGAGACGCATACGTAAAAAGTCCAGAAAGGCGAAGAAGTCTATTTGGAGGTGGTGGAAGACAGGTAGTGAAAGGAAACGGAAAACCGGTGCAAAGAGGATCGAGGGTGGTGTGGGGACCGAAGAAGGATGAATAGACAAAGAAAAAGAAAAATTTGTTCGAGTCTAGAGAGAATGAGAGATAAAGAGATAAATAAGACGCCACTTTCTGAACTCAAAGCTCTGTTTAGGGAGGGAAGGCACTAGCGTCTATGTAAAAAGGAAAAGGAAGGTTTGGGACTAATGTCTACCTTCGGGTTAGGACAGAGGGATAGACAGACACCCCCTGGTGTTGGGAAATGAGATTTTTAGCAAATATTTCAGGTGACTGGTTTTAGGGCCAGTGAACACCTACCCCTTGGTTGGCCCACAGGAAGATTGGTGATAAAGAGTAGGTATTAAGAGGAAGAAAAGAAATAATTGTCATTTAGAGGAGGTAGCAAGTAAAACATCAGGGTGGAAAAGGAAAAGAGGCTGATATTGGCCATACTAGAAGGATCAAGAATAAGGAAAAGAATAAGAAACCATGGCTGAAGCTGAACATACCTAATTAAATAGCAGCCGACTGATTTTACCCCAGCTAGCACATCAGGGGCAAGGGACCGAGGAAGTAGAATAGAGAAGGAAAATGACTTCTTTGTATTTAGGTAGTAAATGAGTATGAAAATTATATGCAAACAAACCATGCATATTATTTTTATCTCAACATTTTGAACACCTTTTATAATCTTAGTGTAGCCTTAGGGAACAGAGAAGGAAAGGAGGTTAAAATCTTTTGGGAAATTAATTTGGCACAAACTATTTGGCTGCTTTGCCCTAGCTGCATTGTTTCTCTGACCTCATCTCTCCCGGGTATTGGCCTCTCTGTTTCCCTGGTCAGGCCTACATCTTTTTTTCTGATCCAGAAGAGAGCTGACTATCAGACTGGAAGCAGGGGGGACTGAAAGCATTAGTAACAGAGGGGGAGCTATCAGATTGCATCCAGAACTTGCTGTGAGCAACATCTTCAGAATTAACCATAAGGCTCTCCCTCCTTTGCTGTCTTCTGAAGGGAAAGGAGAATGTGGATTCTTCATTCCAATTATTTACATCCAAAATATCTACACAGACTCTAATATTTGCAAGCTTTGCTTCTTTGGGATGAGGATGGGAAAGTAAATATTATGAAAAGTTGAGAAGCCATTAAAGGAGGCCCATCCAGGAGTTGGTGATGGCAGCAGTGAACACAATTGGGATCAACAACCTTGGTTTTCAGGGAATCACAAGAAGTGGACACAAGTGAAGAGAGAGAGGAGTTCACTAAGGGTGAGCTACAGTAGTGCTCATGACCTCGGGGTAACCAGTCCATAGCCTGAACTGGAGCCAAGAGCTCCACAGGCCCTATTTTACATCCCCAAGACTTTAATTTAGGTTTATATATACAGATGACTTCCAAATTCATATCTGGCCCAGAATTTCTTGGACTTAAAAAAAAGCTGACTACTAGCATCTCCACTTGGTTGTATAGAGGCATACAACACCCTAAACTGACCTCACCTTCCCTGCTTCCTGAAACTGGCTCCTCCAGCATTCTCTGAGTAAATGGCACCATTAACCACTGAGCTGCTTAAGCCAGGAACCTGAATATCAACCTTATGTCCTAGGCCCTTAACCTCAAATCTAACCAAGTCCTATCATCCTAAATATCTTTCAAATCTTCCTTCCCTTCATCACCACTATATCTGTCAGGCCACCAACTG